ACTTTTGCTTCATGGGCCAAAAAAAATGGAAATATTAAGCTTTGATACTATGAAGGGGTACATACATATAACAAAAATTCAATCATAAAGTTGATATGAAATTAATGCACTAAATACATTAATAATTTGATAGCAGTAATTTTGTTTGCCCTTTTCAAATTTATAATGGCTTTGGGAGATAATTTGAATGACCCAAGTACATCTTTGATTTTAAAAGGCAGATAAAATTTTACTACTAATATTCTCTCACTAAAAAATATTTGCTAAAAGGATTTGTTAAACATTTCTCCCATTTCTTTTTTTTTTCTTCATTTCTCCCATTTCTGATTTCATACTTCCTTAATTTATTTAAAGCTACAAGTGCTGCCAATCAGTAGCAAATCAAAGCAACACCACAGGAAACAATAAATGTTGTTACTTTCATAGTTCGCTGCCATAGATGGGCTTTGATTCTTTCATAGTCAACTTGCCTGAAAGAAGTGGGAGCAGAGTCGACCTACAACCCTCATGGGAGGCTCTTCTCTGGAAACCTCATGCCCTGCAAAAGACTACCAATGATGTCTTCTCAAAAAGAACTATAATTTTTATGAAATTCCAAAAGATTCATTGTGCCCTATAGAAAAAAGCATTATGTGTTATTGTTACTTACAATCTGCTATTAAACATAAATAATTTTCCTGTTGCTCTGGAGTATGAATATGACACTGAGGTCATTCAGATATTGCCACCATTACCAGATAGTCATTTTTTGTAAGTAGCTGTTCCAGATACAAAGTCCTATAATAAAAGTGAAAGGCACCATTCAAGTTCATATCATTTGTATTATTGCAATAAAATCCTTCCAAGTCCTGATGATTATCAAGTTGAGGTATCAACAATGAATATATTCATCATCTGTTCAGTATAGCTCCCAGACAGGGTTTAGTTTGTTAGCAATCAGAAAATAAATAAAACAAATATTGATTTGTTTGCCCCAAAGTGTTAGCACATATAGTAATTTACCTACATTGTTTGCTATTTGTAATTAATTAGTAGGCGTGATGGTTATAGCATATGACAGGCAACATACATTCTATCCTCCTATTATCCTATTATCACTGATAGGAAAGCTAAAAGCTAGATTCCTTGCAGCTAGGATTCTGGAAATGATTTAGGATGAGCTTTTCAGATACACTTGAGTGAGATCTAAGAAGCCAGAAGTGAATGGAAGCTACAAATCTCATACTTCTGTAGGCAGCCATCATTTGGTCACTATTTGTGTGCAGCAGCAGCAATGGCTAGACTCACTGTCTGGCCAATTACCCTGTTGATGGATCATAGTTATTTTGGAACTGCTATGTTGGTGGCCTGGTTTGTGGTGTGGTTTTAGGACTTATTCCAGAAAGCCCAACCTATCTAGAGTCTACTTCATCAGCTTTCTAATGATTTTGTATGCCTTAGAATAAACATAGTCTCATTTATCTTGTTAGAATGGATTCTATTCCCAGAAGATGAACTCAAAATACCAAAAGACACAAACTTCCTCCACAAGGGTAGGAAAAAATGGTATTTGTTAATTTATACTACTAGCCCACAATGAAGTGTTATTTTATTTGATAATTACAATATTCTACTCATTTTTTTGTTTTGTTTTTGTAATTATTGTTGTTTGGGGGACAGGAGTCTTGCTATGTTGTCCAGACAAGTCTCATACTCCTGGGCTCAAGCAATCCTCTGTGTTCAGCCTACTGAGTGGCTGGAATTGCAGGCATGGGCTACCATATTTGGCCAAATTTCAGGTTTTTTGGCCAAATTTACATATACCCTCTACTTAGGCAAAAATAGTGTGATCCTTTGGTGTGATCCATCGATGTGATCCTTCTAAAAATTCTTGTTGGTACTCCTGGAAGCTGAATAATTTGGATTAGTCCTAATTCCCTTCAACCCTGTGGTTATCACCTACCATATACATTCTTAGGATAAATGCAATCAATATATTCTCCTTCCACTATCCTCTCAATTGGAAATGCTGGTGGAACCTTGAAATCCTCAATGTCATCTCAACCTTGTTAAAATAGCACAAAATTTAATACTAGGCCTTTATTTTCTTTAGTTCTAAAAAACTTATCAAGTAATTTGAGAGAAATCTAAACTCAAAGTATGTTAAAAAATTTACTACCAACCACAAAATTCTAACATGCAAAAATAAAAGCAAAAACAAAACAAATCAAAACAAACCCTACTTGATATCCCTAAATCCCAAAGCACCATCTTGGATATCAGAAGACAACTGCTCTATAACATTACCAACATACTTGGTTACCAGTATTTATTTATTTGTGGTGCTGGGGATTAAACCCAGGGTTGGCCTCACAAATGCTAGGCACATGCTCTACCACTGAGGTACATCTCCATCTGGTTGGCTCTTGCTATTTAAAAGGATCCAGGCAATTAGAACTTTGTACATGTCCCAGCTAGTACGACTGATCAAGAATCTAAGAAAAAGTTAGGCAATCAAAGGTTGAAGGAATTAGGCATTCTTGGAAACAGCAACCTGATATTGTATTCCAAGCAATACTGGCTACCGGATCCTTCAAAATACCCTTGATCATAAACTGGTGGCACTAAAAGACATCTCTTGTATTCTCAGTGGACAAATGTAAGTAAAATTATATATGAAAGGCATGGAGAAAATTATCAACACTGCTTTTGCCTATTCATTTTACTCCAGCAGTTTCAGAGGAACAAAGTTAAAAAAAGTGATTCTAAAGATACAGTTTTAAGCCAAACTTGGCTGAAATTCAAGGTTCTTTAGTAAGCAACATCACTTTGTTACCATTGGCCATCAGGTCTTTCCCTAAATTTAAAATGGGGCTCCGTGAGCAACCCAAAGCATGCTATCATATACCTCTCTTGTCACATGTAAAAGGTAAAATTCTCATTTATCCAAGAGGAAAAAGAATCTTAACAAGATAACTTTGATGAAAGACCCTTCCATTAGCAGGCAATAATAACACTTCACAAAACATGATCTACTTTAGGATTTGAGGTCAGAAAAGTATAGTTAGTTGGTTTCACCATTCTTCCCTTCAGGGCTTTGGGGTTTATGTCCATTTTTTAATGGGCACAAACTATTTGAAAACATTTCTAGGCATTTTTCTTTCCCAACCACTTTGCCCTGTCCTTGCACCCACCCTTCCACCTTAAATTCTTTTTTTTTTTAATTTTTTATTGTTGGCTGTTCAAAACATTACATAGTTCTTGATATATCATATTTCACAATTTGATTCAAGTGGGTTATGAGCTCCCATTTTTACCCCATATACAGATTGCAGAATCACATCAGTTACACATCCATTGATTTACATATTGCCATACTAGTGTCTGTTGTATTCTGCTGCCTTTCCTATCCTCTACTATCCCCCCTCCCCTCCCCTCTTCTCTCTCTGCCCCCTCTACTGACATTCATTTGTCCCCCTTATATTATTTTTCCCCTTCCCCTCAATTCCTCTTGTATGTACTTTTGTATAACTCTGAGGGTCTCCTTCCATTTCCATGCATTTTCCCTTCTCTCTCCCTTTCCCTCCCACCTCTCATCCCTGTTTAATGTTAATCTTCTTCTCATGCTCTTCGACCCTACTCTGTTCTTAGTTACTCTCCTTATATCAAAGAAGACATTTGGCATTTGTTTTTTAGGGATTGGCTAGCTTCACTTAGCATAATCTGCTCTAATGCCATCCATTTCCCTGTAAATTCTATGATTTTGTCATTTTTTAATGCAGAGTAATACTCCATTGTGTATAAATGCCACATTTTTTTTATCCATTCATCCATTGAAGGGCATCTAGGTTGGTTCCACAGTCTAGCTATTGTGAATTGTGCTGCTATGAACATCGATGTAGCAGTGTCCCTGTAGCATGCTCTTTTTAGGTCTTTAGGGAATAGACCGAGAAGGGGAATAGCTGGGTCAAATGGTGGCTCCATTCCCAGCTTTTCAAGAAATCTCCATACTGCTTTCCAAATTGGCTGCACCAATTTGCAGTCCCACCAGCAATGTACAAGTGTACCCTTTTCCCCACATCCTCGCCAGCACTTGTTGTTGTTTGACTTCATAATGGCTGCCAATCTAACTGGAGTGAGATGGTATCTTAGGGTGGTTTTGATTTGCATTTCTCTGACTGCTAGAGATGGTGAGCATTTTTTCATGTACTTGTTGATTGATTGTATGCCACCTTAAATTCTTATGAAGAGATTTCAAAAAAAAATCCTGGAGTTCAGTACAAAAACTTAGCAACTTACTTCACAATTGCTCCTCAAAATTGTCCATAATGTGTTTAGATAATAAATGGTGTATACTCAGAAAGATGAAGAAACATCTAGCCAAAGAAGTCTAGACATAAATCAAGGGCCCAGGAGGGCAGAGCTAGCTCTTAAACAATATAGACACCATCTGTCTTAGGTTCACAGGGATAACTCACAGGCACAGCCATCAGGGTTGGACAGCCTCCAAACGCAGGCCCAACACACTTCCATATGCCAGGGATTAGCAATATATATCCCTCTCACCACTGTCCTTTGAAGAAAGTTCTAAGAGTTAAAGTTATCCAGTAGTTAGTAGGCAGACTTCTAAATGACCTCAGGGGAGGTGAAACTCTGCCAACAACAAGGGCAACTCCCCAAACAGTGCAAACTTTGAGAGGATCAAGGGAGGACTTTGATATACATACATGTATAGATAAAAGAGTTAAGTTATGTAACACGGAACACCAAAAATGTACTTGCCAGTATACTGAGTTCCCCACAAACTAAACACGATGAAGCTAAAACCTAAAATGCTTCACTTTTAACTTAAAATATAAACTTCTCTGCTTCATTTTTATGTTATATACAAATAGAAGGCAGTTTTTAATTTTTTAAAGATTGGCTTATCTAAAGCTATGACAGTTTTAAGTTTTACACACAGAATATTTATTTGAGTAAAAGTTTTTATGGAACTAAAAAATATGTTCACAACACCAAGGCTCATTAAAATATTTTAATACTAATATACATTTTCTTCTCTCAGAAACAAAACCCTTAAATATTATATAAGTATTTAACAATAAAACCCTATTGACATAATATTCAATGCTACAAACAGAATAACCTACATGTGCAAAAATTTTTTCAATAAATTTCCTGCTTACATTTTTGGGGGTATAGTACAGACCCCAATGGAATGAGGATTGCGTCCATTAGGACAGTTACTTTTGTAATTTTAGTCTTTTCCACAGCGTAGTGTGTATGCAATCTTACTGCTGATGAAATAGAGAACTGTAATATTTTCCACGTCTTAGTAGTCTTGTAAGAACAGAAAAACATCCTGTGTGCTGCATTTCTCGAAGGAATCAGTTGTTGTAATGATCCATTGGGGCTTGTTTCTTCTGTCAGTGACTTCTGAATGTTCTCAATATGCTCATCCCCACTGCTCAATAATTGCCTAATCTATTTACCTAGGATGAGCTGCTTCTTGAACTGGAGTTGATGATGAGTATTCTTTCAAATTAATGGATGAGGTAGCTTGGTCAATGTAATCACCATGGCTGAAGTGAAGAAAAAAAGGAAGAAAACAGAAAAGTTTTTCCTATCAACCAACATGCACATCCTTTCTACTCATCCATCAAACAGTTTTGGAGAGATAAGAGGTAAGAAAAATGAAACATGGAAGATTAGTCCTGAGGGAGCACATGTGAGAGAATAGATTGAAAAATGTCTCACCTAAATTGTGGTTCTGTTTCTCCAGTCAGGTTGCCACGTTTTTCACTTACATTTCTATTTGACAACATTCTCAACTGTAAGAAACATTCAATCAGATAAACCACACACGTATATACAGTATACAGAATGGCACTGGCCACTGATTTAACATAGTCATGAAGTACACATGAACGTAAGGCACTTTCGCGGTTTACAAAAGTGAATGCCTCAAAGTTAGATATTCATCAAAAATGGAGAAATGTCCTCATAAAAGTTTATAGGAGCCCTGAAAAACCAAATAGGTATGAACATGAGTGATCTTGGCCAACATTTTGAAAATATTAGGACAGAGGTATGAGATAAATAATTGTTTAAAATTACAGAGTTCTATACATCAGTGTCAGGATTCTAAAATGCTCTTATAAAAAACTATCAGTTCTAGGTGCTTTTAGTTTCTCAACCACAGAAGACTGTAGCAATAATCACATATGATATACAGCTGTGTGAATGTAGTGATACCAATATCACGTTATAGAGATGTATAAAGAGATTAGAAATAATAAAAGTTTTGTTTTAAACTACTTAGAAATGTGAAATATCATGTATTTTCTTGAAATTAAAAATTTTTAACTTTCAAATATAAAATTGTTGCTCTAAGTTATGTCAGCTCTTCTATGACTCTTCAGAATTAAAAGAACGTTTGCAACATACAATACACTATACTAGATTTTTCTTCTATGAGAGACAAAACAGCTTATTAAAGCCAAAAAATTGATTTCAAGGAATAATCAACTTTTTATTTCACCTTTACCAAAAGATTCTTTTCTTTTTCTTCTTCTTCTTTTTTTAATGAGGTGAGCTTTCACCATTTTGCCCAGGCTAGTAACAACTTATCAGCCTGGGCTTAAGTGATCCTCTCCATCTCATCATCCCAAGTAGCTGGAGACTACTTGCCAGCTCCTCCCCAAAATTCTAAAAGAGTCAAGTCTTCTCTTGAAAGTTAAGGATAGATCATTAACAAAGTCAGGGATTCAAGACAGATAAAACTTCACCTTGCTTCTTCATTCATAAAGAGCATGAAATTTAATTTTTTAAAATTCTTGTTTCTGTTATACAATTTTGATGATTCAGTGGGGTTTTTAATCTAAAAGGGTGACTTTAAAACCATTTCTTTTTTTTTTTTTTCCCCCAGTACTGAGATTGAACCTACGAGGGTGCTCTACCACTGAGCCATCTCCGGAGTCCTGCTTATTTTGTACTTACTTAGCTTTTTTTTTGCAATCAGGATCTTGCTAAGTATCCTAGGCTGGCCTCAAACTTGCAATTCTCCTGGCACCTCTCAAGTCACTAGGATTACAGGCATGTGCCACCATCCTGGTTTAAAATCTTTTTCTTAAATTACAATTAAAGAACACAATTAATACATTCTTGTTGCTGATATGGAGGTTATAATGCATACCCAACCCCTTCCATTATTTACAATTCAAACCGTTGCTGCACTTCATCTGCAATCATTCCAGAAATTGCAAGGGAGGAAGTGGCAGCAGGGGAAGGAGCATTTCTCACATGAAGAATGCGACTTCCAATATCCCCAACTCCTCCATCAAATACAAAATCATCTACCAGATTTCCATCTCTATCCAGAGCTTGGGCTCTTACTCCAGCTGGACCTCTGCAAAAGCAAAAAAGTAGTAATCAATTGACTCATAGAGATAGGACACTTTCTAAGTTAGTGGTTTACAGTGGTTTACAAAGTATTTTTAAAGCAATAAAGTCTTCTAAATGTACAATTATATGAAAACCCAAATAGGTTTATGTTTAGCCAAAGACTGTCATCAAGAGTCTGGCAAACCTATGTCCTAACCTATAGCATAATGCCTATTACCTGGCAACGCAACAAATGCTTATCAAATATATGCACACATAGGTAAGTTCCTTATAAACATCTGTTCTTTCCTAAAGGAGCAGATAAATTTACATTTAATTAGAATAGATTTATTTTTATTTAAATTTATAAAATGAATTTGTTATAAAAACAATCAATGACAACAATAAGGCTCTTTTGGTTAATACAAAGCAATGAAAACAGGAATTATGTGTTTCACTTGCATTCCTTATCCTTTTTTTCTTTATTTTGTCTTGATAGGACACTATTAAAATTTATGGAGTAAAAATTAAATGGTAACAAATTCTCATTTATAGTTTTTTTTTTATTTTTAGCAATCTAACCTTCAATATCAAGATACCCAATTAACTAAAAAAATGATAGGAAAAGCAAAAAATGAATGAATTCAGCAGCATGTTAATTCAGTGAGTCTTTACTACCTAAAATCCTGTTTTATATCATTTGAGTTCACAGATTTCTGTTTAAAATACTTAATGTTTTTAGAGTCATAAAGCACCTCCTTTGAAACTGCTCAAAGAAACTCAGTGTGAAAAGGCTATCTTACACCACCAAGACTCAAGAAATTAGGCAACAATGTGAAATATTTTTTACTGATTCTGGGATAAGTACTCAGATAAGTACTTGAGGAAGATAGACAAAATGATAGGAGAGTTAGACCTAAACCTGCCTGAAGAGAGATAACAATAATAATAGCTATTATTTACTAAGTGTTTATCTTGTGCTAGGAGTTATCTTATTTATCCTTACAACTCTAAGAAAACTGATGCAGTTTATATTTAACAGCCAAGAAACAGAAAGATTAAGTTCCTTGCCTGAAGTCACACAGGTATGCTGTGCATTTATAGTGAAGTATATAAGAATCACAAGTGTAAAAGATACTATGATTAAGGTAAGTAATTTGCCCTAATGAAATCCTAGAGAATTTGGATAGGAAATTCTTGAGTGGGAAAAATTCTCAAGTTAAGAATCTGATATTTTAGAACACAAAAAGAATGGCCCTGAATGCTGACATTTCTAAAGGTAAGGATACCTATCAGTCTATCAGTTAGTTTCTGGTCCATCCTGCAAGTCTTTATTTATAGTTCATCTCAACTCATCAAAGCAACATTTCTCAGCTGGGTGTGGTGACAAACACCTACAATCCTAGCTACTCAGGAGGCTGAGGCAGGAGGATTGCAAGTTCAAGGCAAGTCAGGGCAATTTAGTGAGACCCTATCTCAAAATGAAAATTTTTAAAAAGGGATATCGCTCAGTGGTAGAGCACTTGCCTAATATATGTGAAGCCCTGGGTTCCAACCTCAGTAACACACACACACACACACACACACACATACACACCACACCAGTGCCCCTCCCCTTTTTTCTTAGAAAACACTACTGTTGCAATTAAGAATATCTCTGTTTGAATATCTCTGACCTTTTCCTTGTGTCTGGCAGAAGATCAGTATGTTGACCAGATGCTGATGTTTGGTGTTAGTGTAAAATGACTTTCTTCTGTAGAGGTTTAATCAGTACATTCCTCTTGCTCCTTATAAGTATGTTGAAGTTAATACTGATTAACCACAAGTTAAAAATGTGTCTGCACTTATTTCTCTTATAAACATGTATTGTGTCCTCAATGTTCCCCATCCTCTTGCCTAAGTGTTCAAAATCTATAGTTCAAACTGAAAATAAAATATTGTTTTTCTTCTTTTTCTTTCCTTTTTTTTGTTTGTAGTACTGGGGATTTAGCCCAGTAGTGCTCTACCATTGAGCTATACCCATACCTCTTTTTGTTTTGAGACAAGGTCTTGCTAAATTGCAAACTTGTGATTCTCTTGCCTCAATCTCTTGAAATGCTAGAATTATAGTCATGAACCACCGCACTCAGATAAAATACTGCTTTACTAAGATCCGACTTAGTTTTTCTTTGCAGGATTATATATAGGCTTTCCCCACTGAACCCTTTGGCTTGAGATAACTTGAAATCCATGTCTTTGAGAGTATGCACAGTGTCTTGTACAATACCTCACCTCTCCCTCCATGACTAGATTGTGTCTTATACATAGTAGGTATTCAGTAAAGCTAGAAACCGAAAGTTTTAACTTCTGATACTTTTAATACTATTTTAACAACTGAAAAAAAATGATTTAACAAATTAATCTGTAAATCCAGCTACAATTAACTTACTGCTATCTCTATGTATTTTGCTACATTTCTAGCTAAATTTAATGAGAAGGTATATCCTAAATACTTATGCATGTCCAGAAACAATAGGGGAATCTATAATTACATTCATTCATCTGAAAAGTCCTGTATTACATTATTGTCACATGGCAGGCATTATACTTTGGGTGGGGGAAACAGCTATGAAAGATAATAACTGACATATCTGGCCAGTCCCAAATAGGATAATCTAGAGTTTTATAACGCTCATGATGGGACCTACTGCTAATCTAAAAATACAAGTCCACATTAGTATGTTTAAATTAGAAGTGGTGATAGAGGAAAATAAAATAAACAATTCCAAAGTAATTTCCATACATGTAGGAATGGCATTTGTTTATGTTTTTTTTTTTTTGCTTTAAATATTTATTTTATTCTTTTTTCTTTTTTATTGGTGCATTATATTTAATAGTTGAATTCATTATGCCAAGATGCACATAACATAATTTGATCAATCTCATTCCCCCGTACTTCCCCTTTTCTTCCCTCCTCCCTCTCCCTAAGCTGCTTGCTCTACTCTGATTTCCCTTCTTTATTTTCATTTTAATCAGTGTGTTACAATTATATATGTAGGCAGGATTCATTGTGGTATATTTGTACATAGACATAGCATAATTTGGTAGATTTCATTCTCCAGTACTTCCCTTACTCTCCTTTCCTCCCTCCCTCTTGATCAAGGAATGTATTTTTGTTCCTAACTAGATTGTGACAAGAACATTGTTTTTCTATGCATACTCCCCCCCCCCCCAGTGTTAAGGATTGAACCCAGAGCCCTGCATATGCTAGATAGGCACCATACCACTCAGCAATCCCAGCCCTCTATGCCCAATTTTTGAATTTTGTTGAGAATCTGATTTAGGGTTTAGAACATTTTGAGCTTTTGTAAATGTTCTATGTTCTATATTCAAATGGTCTAATATTTTATATGCTTAATTATTCTTTTATTAACAGATACATCTTAAAATTACCTAATAATACAGTTGATTTCTGTTGCAATTATGTCAGGTTTTTCCTCTGAATTTCATAGCTATGCTATTATATGCACAAGTTTATTTCTAATAATATTATTTCTATACATTTTATTTATATATCATTAATATTTTAATTTCTAACAATATTTTTGCCTTAAAGTATATTTATCTTATCTGAAATAAATGTAGTACCCATCTTTCAATAAGCATTTCCCTAGCACATCTATTAAATAATACGATCAATGGATTTCTATAGCTTGAAACCCAAGTTCTGCCTTTTTTATTAATCTTGCAATCCAATGCATTAAAACCATAAATTCCCTATAAGTATTGTGTCATGAGCATATCAGTCAGTTTTTTAGCACATTTTGTTCCATCATCCCAGATGTATGTAGAACAACCATAAAAACTTAAATTGAGAAAGTCAAACTCAGAAAGTAAAGGGTTGTATAAGTTTTCTCTCATATGTGGAAGCTAGGGAGAAAAAGAGTGGAGAAAAAAAAAAAAGATGTTGGACCTCTCGAAACAGAAGGAGACCAATAGGATAGAGGAGGGGACCAGGAAAGAGGAGGAGGAGAGAGACAGGGGAGGTAGTGTAAATGAAACTGACTATATTGTTATACTGTGTTGGAAGGTGGGGGAGTGAAATAGAATCTGAACAAGTCTGGGTCCACTTTTTAAGTTAATTTCTCAGTTTATGATTCCTGAACAAAGTTAGTGATATACTGCTACTTTCCATTCCAAAAACCAAGACAGACAAAATCCCTTAACACTTTGGTGCCAAGGGAAATAATTTTTTCCTAGTTCCTTCTCACTAAGAATGTGGTCCTTCAAGAGCTCCTAGCTTAGCCAGTCATTATGGCACATACCTATAATCCCAGCCACATGGGAGGCTGAGACAGAAGGATCACAAATTCAAGGCCAGTTTTAGCAACAGTGAGGCCCTAAGCAAATTTGTGAGGCACTATCTCAAAATAAAAAAAATAAAAAGGGCTGGGAATGTGGCTCAGTGGTAAAGCCCTTCTGGGTTCAATCTTAAGTACCAAAAAAGAAAAACAACAGGGAGCTGGGATTGTGACTCAGCGGTAGAGCACTCGCCTAGCACAGGCGGGAACCGGGTTCCATCCTCAGCACCACATAAAAAATAAAGGCATTGTGTTGTGTCCATCTACACCTAAAAAATAAAATTAAAAAAACAATAACAAAAAGGCACCTTTATAGCACTTGAGTAGCAATTAAAATACAAGTCTCTAATGTTCCATATCTTGTTTTGGGTGATAGATACATAAGTTATACTATTATAAAAATTTATTGAGAACTTAAAATCTTCATATTTTATTGCATGTGAATCATACATCAATTAAAAATATAAAAAATATAAATCAAGCCCTTCAGTTATTAAGATCAGCAAATCTTCCCTACCTTTCCAGGTCAGCATCAACTCCTTTAAATACCAACTCAGTACAGGAGTTTTCAATTTCTTCCTTGTTTTTGGTCCTGAGCTACTCTTCCTTTCCTACATTCTCAGGTATACATATTTTGAAGATGTTTATTCTATTTTCTCTTAGTATTTTATAGGGTGAGGATTACCAAATTCTCTAGACTAGTGGTTCTCAACCAAGGAGTATTTTTCTCCCAGGAGACACTGGCAATGTCCGGAGACATTTTTGATTGTGTCCATTTTTGGGAATGGACAGAGGCCAGAATGTTGTTAAGTATCTTCTAAGGAACTGAAAGATCCCCTACAACAAATAATGATTTGGCCCCAAATGTCAATATATCAAGATTGAGAAACTCATCTTACATCATAATAACTTTACTGTACAAATGTTTTTGCCTTTGTGCTTCACAATGACATAGTATAATCTAGTTACCAGGAATGATAAAAAGTAATCTTCTTTGAAAATTCACTCTTGAGTTCCCCAATAAGAAAGTTTCCAAAATTATATGTGGGGAAAATGGAGGAGCATGGTATACATGTCTTTATTTTTTATAACCTTACAGTGCTAACAGATATAAACTACTGTTAGATTAACAAAAATTAATCATAGAATGAATTAAAGGAGTTTACAGCTAAAATTAAAAGCCTGAGAGACAGGTCATCATTTAACAATGAGAAGTTTGTATACCTCATGCATAATTGCCTGAGAATAACTTTAAATTTCAGTCTAATATGCACCAGTAAATTATTACCTAAGTGCTCTGGCTAGGCCATGAAAGGTCACGATAAATGCTGTTTGGTGGTGACTGAAACTTAAGGACATAATCTCTGGCAACACACTTCACTCTAAGTGTTGCTTCTGTTAGCTTTTACTATTTAAAACTGACTGATATTCATGACACAATACTAATAGGGAATTTATGGTTTTGATACATTGTATTGTAAGATGAATACAATAAGGCAGAACTTGCTCTTCAAACGATAGAAAAGTTTATTGATCTTATTATTATTTAATATAGCATGAAATATTCAGGCATATAACAAGGTCTAGAGAATAACAGAGTGGACACTCATTTTCTTACCAATAAACTTAAGAACTAAAGCATTACAGATATGACAGAAGTCCCTATGGCACTCTCAGGATTCTGTTCCTTTCCTCCCCAGAGATAAGCCACCTACTCTTTTGAAGTATTGTTTTTATTTTTATATTACATGTATAATCCATAACCAATATATGTATTGTTATGCTTGTTTTAAATATTGTATAAGTAATATCAAGCATATCTTCTTCAACTTTCTTTTTGTTATTGATAATTTCCTGCATTTGATAGCTAGAGGAATCAAAAGAAGGAACAAAGGAATTGCTGTATATGTTCAGCATCTGTCTCTAAAGAGGAACTCATCTGTGGTTGAGTTGAATTTGTCCCCAAATGCACCTGCCTACAGTGCTGTGAGCTCTTTTCTATTTCATGCCAATGAAGCTGTTAACTGAAATTCACACCCTTATACTCAGAGACAGGAGTCATTAATACCCATAAACCTCAAGTCCAGCTCTACTACATGAAATCCACTGAACTAATGTGTTTGCCTCAGGCATCTATGAAAGGGTGGTAATTGAATATGGATAGTGAATTCACCGCAACTGCTTCTACATAGAATCTACTGTGCCCACCTAGTGTGTTTTTCAAGAATATTAATAGCAGTAACAGAAACCAGATTTGATCAGTCTGTTTTTAGACAAAAAACATTACAGATCTACTAAAGCAAACCACCAAAGACATAAAAGGTTTTATTAGTAAGCACAAAAAAATAAAGCCCAGATATTTTTATCCCTTCCATTTCAGAAGGTAAGTAGAGGGTAAAGGAGATAAGAATAAAAACATTAGCTGGGTTTTAATAGTTTTAAGGATTCAAAGAGGTTGGTCTCAGAATGATACATTAGAGTCAGATTTAGACCAGGACTATCCCCTATGGGAGACAGCTGACATGATTATTGTTCTCTTCCCAGATACACAGTCAAGTTAGCTGACATTTTATACCAGGCTAGTTCAGCAGCTGCTAAAAAAGAGGTAGACATTTGGTGTTCTGGAAAGTCGTGGAAGGACAGATTGTAAATAAGGGTGACTACCTCCAAGTACCCTTGCTGATAAGGGCTAACAAATGGCTTGCTCAGGGAAAAAGGTGAACACTAAAAATATCACCAAAGAAGAAAAAAATAATGTGCTTAGGTAGTATTTAGGATAACTGACAGATCAAGAAGTCTTTTATCTAACAACAACAACAACAAAAAATATACATGTGTGTCCCTTATTTTACCTAAACCCCTATAGCAAAAACTTTGATGGTTACCACACGGCTTCTTCCTTCTTTTGTACTGTTAAGTAGAGTCCCTGTGTATAGGAAGAGCCATGAAAAAACAAAAGCAAGGTAAGATGCCAAGTCTAGAAGAATGAATCTAAAAGGTTTTAAGAATTGATCAAAATATAAAGTTTTAATGCATTTATTGCCTAATTACTTAATATGTGATCAATTATTTTATACAGAATTTAAGCCAGAAGGCTTTAGAATCATAAGAGCAAGTATCCAGGGCAATTTTTTCAAAATCCAGGAAAGATGTTTTATCCTGAGTGATAGTTAGACACAAAGGCTGAGGTGGCATCAAAATAAAGCTGTGATGGAGATTTCAGTTTAGAGTTGTAGAGGCCTAGACAATTATAAATGGACCAGCACTAAGGGCCATGATGGAGCCATGCCCAATACACAAACTTCAAAAAGAATTTGGCAACTTGTTGGGAAAGAGAGCACACAAAGATGCAGTGAACACATTGACTCTGTTAAGTATGCTTACTACTCACCAGGTCAGACCTACCTCTCAAGCTCACCAAGGTCAGGACTAGATTCACAATCCTTGTCACTTTTCCTTACCTAAGTATATCAGTGATAGTAATTTCAGGGATGAATTTTTGAAGGTGCTTCACTGTTGCACTCAGAAAGCAGGCTTTATACATTTCACTAATTCCATAGGAGAGATTCTGGGAGATCAGTTTAATCAGGCCACTGAAAGTAAAGGAAAAAACTCTTTAGGAGAAAAAAGGAATTCTTTATTATTATAAATCACCATTAAAATTATGAGATTTTGGGGTGGGGTGGGGGGTATGGCATCACTAGAAATCTAGGCAAAATCAGGAAAACTACATTTTAAAATCAACTTTGGGTCAATTTAAGGAGGAAACTTCATCAACTGAAGAGGGAAACATCTTCCAAACTCAAATTCCCACGGGGTACTGGTTTCAAACCAGGAGTCTACAAAGGCTGCCAACATCAAGGCTTTCTAATGCAAATGTCATATGCTTTCAACACACCCAAAAGGCATTAGCAGGTCTTTAAATCAGGGCATTAAACAAGTGAGACATCTATCCTATTTTAATCATTAAGATACTCTAGTAATGATTAGAGCAAGACACTAACTATAGAAAGGATCCTCAAGACAGACTCTGTAGAGCTTGTGTATGTTCAGCATGCATAGGCAACGTATTTTTACAATGTATTTATAAGAGAATCCCCATCCTAACCCTCTGTTTCAAAATCTGTGGAGGGTGAGATCCAGGTACGGTTCAAAATGCTTTCTAGTGATTTGGATACGAAATCCTCTGGAGAGAACTCTGCTATAAAGACCAAACAAAATACCTCATGAAGGTGTTTCTTACAATAATAAAAAAATCTGCATTTCAGGTCAACACAATAGTTCTGCCAGTTTTCCACAAAAAGGAACACTTTGGACATCAGCAAATTTTCTAGTGGCTTACAAAATAATGGTGACTAGCTTAAGATGTTATTATCAAAGGAAGTCATCTACTGATTTTGACAGAACCTTTTCTTTTATTCCCTTTCAAAATCAACTGACAGCGGGGCGCGGTGGCTTATGCCTATAATCCCAGTGGCTCAGGAGGCTAAGGCAGGAGGGTCCGAAAGTTCAAAGCCAACCTCAGCAAAAGCGAGGTGCTAAGCAACTCAATGAGACCCTGTCTCAATAGGGCTGGGGATGTGGTTCAGTGGTTGAGCAACCCTGAGTTCAATACCTGGCACCCCCTCTCAAAAAAAAAAAAAAAAAATCAACTAGAAGGTTAACAATATAAAATTTGGTGTAAAATGGCTCTTGGTCGTACCTTCCTTTTGTTTGTTGTTTGTAGTACTGGGGACTGGACCTAGGGCTTCATGCATGTTAGACAAGCATGAATTACATTCCCAGCCCATTTTTTAAATTTTATTTTGAGACAGGGTCTCGTTAAATCGCCCAGGTTGGCTCCGACTTTGCCATCCTCCTGCTTCAGTCTCTTAAGTAAAGCATGGATTACAGGTATGCAGCTAATATACTCAGAATTTAAAACATTGTTTTTTAAAGTTGTTACCTATTGGCAATTAAATCCTTAGCATCTCTGGCACTGAAGTCAAAGGGTCTGTATCCTTCCCGTTTAAAGGCAAGAACTGCATTAGGCCCTAGCCAAATATTCCCGTCCATCCTTGGTGTGAAGTGAACTCCTAGGAAAGGAAAGCGGCTATCCGGAACCTATAGATTCAACACAGCAAAGAATGGTTAGCCCCATTTCACATTCCATTTTATTATAGCTATAAACATCTGATTAGTAATATAAGACACTTTCTTCTATGCATTTAATTTGCATTATGAACTATATTCTGATATGCTTTTCTATTGCCGTGCTTCTGCTTAGAAATGCCATCCAGGAAACACTGATGCTATTGACATTAACACATGCTATCCCATTCTCTTCCTTCGATTATCACTTCTCTCCAGAACTAGGGATACCTGTGACTAGCAAATAAAACCAGGAAAAAAAAAAAAAAAAAACACTAACATTCATATCACAGACTTTTGTCAAGTGGGAATATTTAATGTTGAAGCAGATGAATTTGGTGCTTTGGCATGGCAAAAAAACACCAAGTAAAAAAATCAAATATCTAAATATTAGTTGAATCAATTTCATCTGCTTCAACCTCATACTTTAAGGTATTCATTCATTTCCTGTTTAGTCTGAGACAGAAAAATGAGCCTTTTATTTAAACGATTCTGTGTTCTGTTCCCAGAACTTCAGAGTAGCCATAGCCCTTTTCTGTACCTATAGACAATAAACTGAGAAAGACAGTTGGGTATCTGGGATTTCTGTAAGGTAAAGTTCTCTTATTATTAGTCCTCTACCAGAGAGGAGGAAGAATCTGGTTCCTTTTTGATACACTGCCTATGATACATTCATGCCTTATGGAGATGTGTACCTGTGGGCAATTAATTACCACTTAATGATCAAGATATTAGAATTAATATTTAGGGGTTTAACCACAGAGCCAACAGAGGAAATGCCTGCATAAATGGCCCTCCAAACCTCCTCCTTACTTTTGAAACAGATAAAAGTTTTCATGTTTTTTATGCTTATAACCAACTTGAGAAGAGTTAAGAAGTCAGAAAACATTTCATTACCCACCGGATAAATATTTCCTTTTACAAGATAGCATTTTTCTGGCTTCAAGAGCAGGTAATCTCCCCGGAATGGTACAATTTGAGGATCAGGATTGCAGCCACTTAACTCTGAAATACGATCTGAGTGAAGTCCTGCACACGTCACAACATACTGACATTGAATTTCCTCTCCCTAGTGCAAAATAAAAGAGAATGATTAGCTTCCATATATGAGAGAGAACAGGTGGTACTTGTCTTTCTGTGTGTGGAAGCTTAAAAGAAAGGTTGACCTGAATGTAGAAGAGTGATTAATAGAGGTTGGGGATACTGGATACATGGGGTTAGATGTGATCCGTATATGATATATGCATGTGCAGAAATATCACACTGAATCCATCACTAGGTATAATTAATACATGTTAATAAAAATACAGCATTATTTTTTTAAAAATAATGTATCTGTATAAAGAGGGAGAAGAATGGGTCAAAAAAGGAAAGACACGTGATAGAAAAAAAGTAAAGTTATAGAAATGAGTTTTTAAAAAATTTTTTTTGAGGGGCTGGGGCGGTGGCTCAGTGGGAGAGCACTTGCCTAGCACGTGTGAGGCACTGGGTTTAATTCTCAGCACCACATGTAAATAAATAAAATAAAGGTCCATTGACAACAAAAAATATTAAGAAAAAAAATTTTTCAGACAGGTTCTTGCTAAATTGCTGAAGTTGTCCTTGAACTTCAATCCCCCCACCCCAGCCTTCTGAGCAGCTGAGGTTATAGGTTTGTGCCACTGCACCCAGCTTTTTCAGAAAGAGGAAATGTGTCAGCAAAATAAACTCTTCAGCATTGAGGCGACAACCTAGAAACTTAGGATAGTGGCATACAAGAGAAGATCACCTTAAATTTTATACTTTATATTAGAGACAAGAATGGCTGACCCAGCAAAGATACTTAAGCTCCACATGCATGCTCACATACACACACCTATTCTACTAGGACCTAGGATGGAATTTCACAATTTTTTGCTGCAGGAAGAAGCAAACTTCATTTAGTTCTGACTTTCACATCTGTATTTCAGACAGATTCTCTACCCTCCAGCACGCACCCCCAACCTCGTTTTTCTTCTCTCTCTCTCTCTCTTTTTTTTTTTTTTGACACAGTTCTCCCTAAATTACTGAGGCTGGCCTCAAATGTACGATTCTCTGTCTCAGCCTCCCAAATGGCTGGGACTACAGGGGTGCATCACAGCATCTGGTACTTCTCTAGTCCTGAGTAATAGCTTTGTTAGTCTTGGGTTGCTCCACACTCAATAATCCTGTTCAATTTCAACTCTAACTACCCTCCAACCACTTTGTCCTTCCTGATCAGGATCTATTTTTCAAACTGAGGCTACTCTAGAAATATCATCAACTCTATTCTCATTTACAAGGAGCCATTTACTCTACACCCAAGGTTTGTTTTAAGTATTAGGAGAATGCTAATCTTGGACTGTTATAATTTTTCCACAAATTTTATTTTGTGATTGTCATCTGGGTTCTTTCCTTTCCTTCTCTTCCCCCTCCCCCTCCTCCTTGTCTTCCTCTTCCTCTTCCTTTTCTCCTTCTCATTCTTCTTTTGAGATGGGGTCTTACTATGTTGCCTAGCTAGTCTCAAACTCCTAGGCTCAAATTATTCTTCCTACCTCAGTCTTCCAAGTAGCTGGGACTATGGACACATACCATCATGCCCACCTACTTGCTCCTGGTAACTTCTTGCTCTTATTCCCAGATGACTTATTTCTGAAGCCTCAGAGTTCTCATCTCAACATTTTCTTTTTTGCCATCATCTGTATCAGCCTTATTTTATTGAACTATATTTTTTACTCTATGTGTCCTATTTTCCCCCTTGCTAGAAAAGTAAGCCTCTTTTCAAGAATTATATAAGTCATATTTTTTAAGAAAAATCAGATGAAATTTCTCTATACTGAATTCAAATTAGCTAGACTAAATCATGATAGTTTTGAGATCCCTGAAGTCAAAAGGGCTACATCAATGACAACAACAAAATGATTCCTTTTAAATAGGCTAAGGCAGGAGGATCTCAAGGTTAATATCTTTCCTGTTCATCTAGAGTTATATACCAGAAGTACAGGAAATACTTTTGTGTGATACGAATCTACCGGTTCATACTTAAAAGTCAGCAATTTTTATGTTCTGGGAACATAAAATGTAGATAAATCTTATGATAAATATATAGATAACAGCAAAATGCTTAAGATGGTACCAGCATGCAATAGTTCTATTTTTAAAAACTCAGGCAACAGTTCCAAATAAAGAAATGATTAAAAATGGTAAGTCTCTGAAATCATGTTATGCTGTAGATGAAACAATAATTAAATTTGGTAAAATATTAATTTCACTTCCATAATGAAATTTAGGTAAAGACGGCTTCCTATCTAATGTATAAATTCTTTTAAAAAATATTTTAGTTGTAGATGGACACAATACACTTATTTATTTATTTATTCATTTATTTTTATGTGGTGCTGAAGATCAAACCCAGTGACTCACATGTGCTAGGCAAACACTCTAACTGGAAATACAACCCCAGCCCCTCTAATGTATAAATTCTTAATTTGCCTCTCTCCAAAAGTTTATTTTAAATGTTTAAATTTTTTTTTAACCTTTCATGAAGTACATTTGTTTAACCTGATAGGTAAACTCAAAAACTTGAATTTGAACCCCCAAACAAAACTACAGGAAAAGGCCAAGATAAAAAGCAACAAGCAAGGGGACTGGGGTTGTGGCTCAGCAGTAAAGTGTTTGCCTAGCAGTGTAAGGGCCTGGGTTTGATCCTTAGTACCACATATAAACAAATAAAATAAAGGTATTGTGTCCAACTATAACTAAAAAATAAATTTTAAAAAAAGCAACAAGCAGGGATAGTGGCACGTGCCTATAATCCCAGCCATGTGGAAGTCTGAGGCAGGAAGAGTATAAGTTCAAGGCCATCTGGGCAACTTAGCAAGACTATGTCTCAAAATAAAGAATAAAGAGGACCTGTGATATAACTCAGTGGCAGAGTACCCCTGGGTTCTACCCCCAATAACCTCCCCAGACCCCCTAAAAGGCAACAGCTATAGTAACTCTGAGTAAAATATATAACCACTGATATCCCATAGACCTCTACGTGTTTTCCATTACATGATTCTAAACTCTTGTGAAAAATCTCCAAAAATAAGGGCAAGCACATAAACAGATTTACAATACTTTGAATGGAAACACTGGTTGTTCTGCCACTTGGGCTACCTGATCCAGCAGGTCTAATAGTAACTGAAGTGTGTTAACAGACAGTGATGTTTTACAAAGCCTTTGGCATACCCAAATCATAAAAAAATCATACAAAACTCTAGGATTTTCACAGAAAAGTTCCACCATCCTCTATAGATAATAATCCTTCTTGAGAAAGTGCTTTTGGTTTTGACTAAACACAGGTCATTAAGTTACCATGCCAACTACCCATTATTAATTGGATGCTATCTGACTCACCAATCCACAAACCTGGGTGTGTACAGTAGCCTCCTTTCATCAAGAGGAAGTATACTATAGAAGATCAGGACTGTAGGTCCTGAAGGCACATATAAGTTACAGAGGCAAATGGTTTGCAATGCCTACTCCCACTAAATTTCCTTCTTCCCCTCAACCTGCACCGATAGCCACATGGAGAGTACACTATGACCAGTTGATCAAAGAAGAAAAACTACAGATATGATTTACAAATGGTTCTGTAGAACATTCTAGCACCATTTATCTAGGAGAGATGGCCAGATATATGGATCTATGCTGCTTCATGTGCAATAACTAATGGTTTGGCTGGATGGTCAGAAAAAGGAGCTTAGAAGAAAATATATGTGAATAGAACATTCCAAAAAAGCTCAAAGGGTAAAGAAGTTGAAAAAACATCTTTATTCTCATATTTATTATAGCATATTCGAAACAGCCAAGACATGGAAACAATCTAAGTATCCATTAACAGACAAAGAGGTAAGAAGGAAATCCGTCCATCTCTGATATCATGGATGAGTCTGAACGATATTGTGCTAAGTGAAAATAAGTCAGATGATGAAAGACAAATACTGAATGATATCACTTATATGTGAAATCTAAAAAAGGGAATTCACAGCAACAAAGTAGAATTGTGGGTCCTCAGCTTGGGAATGAGTCTTTGGCCATATCTTCTTACGCGTGGAAAGAATCTTTTCCGAGGGAGAGGAAGATGGCGGAGAGGGGAGTGCATTGCCCCCGTGTGCTGCTTCACTGTGTGGGAGTATGACAAGTCAGGACGGCTAAAGGATATCTTGTTAGGAATTTCCAGCAATAGTGGGATGCTCCGGAACCTGGAGGAAGGATTTCCATCGCACGAGGATCAGTTACGGGGACTCAAACGCGAGAGGTTTGTCGCACGGAGGGTAACACTGCTTATTCAGCAAATCGCCCCGCGGCTAGAGTCTGCAGCGCGCGCTGGGATAGAGACGCAGGGTTACAGCACTGCAGTTTCTGCCAGCCGCGCAAGCACTGTACTCAGGGCTGAATTCTGGGTTCGAGACGGGGGAAGAAAGCGGTCCATCTCGGTTCTCCACACCGGTCAGACCACAGAGGAGGCCAGCAGCCACCATGTTGGTAAACTGACGTCACCTTCCCTATTTTCGACTGACCGCAGCTCATTCAGCCATAGAACAGGTAATTTCAGGCTGCAATTCGCCTGCGGCTTGCAGACAGATTGCTAGGGTTCAGCGCCTGGGTGCTTCTTAGAATCTGATCTTATCGGAGCGAACACTGAGCGCGGGGCGGCCGAGTTCCGGCTCCCGGAACCGTCCCGGAACCGCCCTGGCCCAGGGCTGGGGAGCCTGCGGAGGCTGCTTCTTGGACCCTGCTACTATCAGAGCAAACACCAAGCACTAAGCAGCCGAATTCCGGCTCCCGGAACTGAGCCCGCGGGGACTGCTTCTTGGAGCTTACACTTATAGGAGCTTACACCAAGCACGGAGCGGCCGAGTTCCGGCTCCCGGAACTTCCCTGGACCGGGGCTAGGAGCCCGCGGAAACTGCGTCTCGGTCCGGGTCCTGCTGAGGGCCGGTCAGGACTCACCTGTTGTTTTGGTTGCCCGGCAAGGGGAACGAAATGCTGCCATTCGCATAGGATACCAACATGGCAGAGATC